GNAATGTACTCGACTGTAGCCTAGAACATTCTGTGAAGCTAAATGATCTCAGGGGTGCACCCATGCGTGTTGTGCTTTTGAATATACTTACCTTTTGGTTAATGTTTGGGACTAACAGTCACCAACACCCAGCGAAAATCTTTACCTTTCGTGGCACTGGTTGACTGGAAATTTCAACGAGGAAAATTCAGCGGTTAAGATGTATTTGATGAAATGTTCACAACTGTTCTTAAGTGAGGCAATCTCATTGGTATTCGACGAACGGGTTACGAATTGACTCTCTTGAAAATGTGGTGGACTTGTCAGTCACTCATTGCTCCAGATTTTATTGTTAATTTACGAAAAGAACTACAATTTTAATTCTTAGAAAAGTTATGTCTGTTAACTAGACAACAGTTTGTTCACACATGCTATGTTCTGGTGCAAAGGTTTAACCCTCAGGCTGTTTGCCATTTTTCGCATAATTTCCTTATTACACCCAAACAGCCATTGTGTAAGTCGCAGACAGATATCTAGGAACAGGTAATAAGCATGAGAAACAACTGAAAATTACTGGTGAGTGTAATTTATAGTCTGAAGAATTTTCAAGTGCCTATTGAATCTAAATTGCGCGAGATACACGTCGTTACTAGTGAATAATTTGCACAAAAAAGCATCACAGGAAATCAAAACAGATGAAATTTTGCAGTGTGCACTATTTGTAATTTGCCTCATGTTACAACACTATTTTCAGACAATCATGATAAATTATTATTTAATTAATAATTAATCATGCCAAATTGGCAACTCAGGATAAGTTTTACATTATCTTAAAAGGCAGTTAGTATTTGATGGTAGATCTTAGCAAGTTTGCAACCACTTAGTAGGGTGGCATCATAACTTGTCAAATTAGATGTAAAGGATGTTATATCTTAATTACATTTGAAAAAAATGATAATGTGAAATTTATGACCAGGTAGTTGTTTCATCACAATCCAAGTTTGATTGTTTGGTCTAAAAGCAAAATGTAGTGATGAGGTTTGATAAATTTATCTGTTTTTGGAAACTACTTGTAAATAATTTTGATGTGATGATTAAATTTAGTCCCCTTGTTCCACTAAGCACCCCCCTCAAAGTTGTTTTTGTTAATGACCACCCCCATTTCAGTGCATAGGCACCCTTTCACCCTTACTGTTTCAGTGAAAACACTGTTAGAATATATTCATTACCACAACAATGAAATGCAAAAATTCACAGTATACTATTTTTCTGCTGTTCTTAAAAAACAAAACAAAACAAAACAAAGCATGCACCATTTTGATTAAGTGTCCTCCCTAGAGGTACCCTCGGTTAATAAGTGCCCCAACACCAAATAAGTTCTTTTTGGTTGAAGAAAAATGGTAAAATTAGTTTGATAGTACATGTAAAGGCAGTAAACATTGTGTTTTTTAAGGGTGAATTCTTTGAATATTAAAACTCAGGCCAGTTTTTTTGTATCTCTCTTATAAACATTTTGTTATGAAAAATATTTTAATATCTGGAGATGACACCAGTAAAGGGAGGTTGAAACTTAATACAAATATTTGATGTTTCTTTGTTATTGTTTAGCCAGGGAACATTTTTTCGAATCAGACAAAATTCAAGGAAATGTGGAAACAGCTGTTTGTCACAACCATAAGGAAAATTGTAGAGAAAATTTCTTGTCCTTAATGAAGTAATGGATGTAAAGCAATAACCAAAACGGGCTTTAATTCCTCAACATAGTAACTAATATTTACATCATCCAGAAGTTACATGCATGTTGTATCATGAATCTTATTCTTATTTAACCTGTACATTGCAAATGCAAAAAAATGTTAATTGGAAGTGTTGCCCACATTTGAGTTCTTGTTTAGCTCATTTTCAAAGTAGACACCCATTTAAAAATTTAATGGTGGTTTTATATAAGTGAACACATAAAATTTCTTTGAAATTAAGTTTTCTGATTAATTTACATTCTATCTTTACTTAGGTTTCGTTACTTACTGGTTTCATCAATAGTGCCGGTATACAATGTTCCCTTTGCAGTGGGGAAGGCTTTCTTTTTTACAAAATAATATAAAAAGTGATAGATCTTCCTAAGTTTTGATGATCGTGATCGATGGATCATGAGATAGTCCATCCCTTTAAATTTACTGTTAGTGGTAGATTATTCAACTCAATTTTAAGATAACAAAAGTCTCATTTCAACGAATGTCTTCACCAACAAAACAAAGTCTTAGAATAACTTTTTTAAATGCTGTTTCTTAAAATTATTTCCAATTTTTAAAATTAAAAGTTCAAAATGTAAATTAAGTTACATGATCACCAAAGGGGCGTGGGAATTTTCTTTTCCAATATAAAGTCCTTCCTGTAAGCTAAGCCTTTTCTTTTTCTGTACGCGAAACGAGAGCCTGTTCCCCTTTGTAACTGCTTCAGTTATTTCCACGGAGTTTCTCTGAGCCAGAGGAGATCTGGGATCTGGTGCCACTTTGTCAGAGAATAGCTTTTGTGGGACTGATTGTCGACGACCAGAAAGCCTCCTTTTTCTCTTGAAATCGGATGGGCTGGCAGTCTTCTTTAACAGGCGAGCTGTATCTTTCTTAGAAAGCGGAGCTCCGGGTGACACAGGCGTCATGGATACATCACTCAGGATTCTGTTGATCTGATCGATGTCGGGCGACAGTGGCTCCTCAGCTTGAGCGTTTTCGTTTCCGAACACTTCATCTTGATCAGTTATGTTTACCTCTTGAACGCCCGAGTTTGCATCCTCGCCATGATCAATTTCAGCGTTTTCCTTTGATTCCCGACTGCTCTCTCTCGCTATGGGGACAGAAATTGGAGTGCGGGTGATTGTAAAACTCGGCGATCGCGGATCAACGCTCAGTTCTCTGTTCTGAGGCGATTCTTCGTACGTTTCAAGTTGAATTGGTGTCCTTTGTTCTCCTACTGGCGAACGAGGATCTGCAATTTGAAGTCTTGAGATCCGCTTATCTACAGGTTGTGGTGTTTCTGGAGGTATTTCAGACCATCGTTTGCTTTCTAAGGCACCCATGTTAGTGAACCTTCAAAAAAAATTCGATAAATTCAACACTAATAACCCACAAGCGGAATTTCGTGTAGATCTGATCCAAACGATCGAAGATTCGAAGTTTAAATGCCCCGGTTTTGCGTGGTTTGTGACCAATCATGTTACTTTCTTGCGGAAAACCGCAAGCCTCGAATCGCGGGTTCATTTCAGCTGAAATGTGATCTCTTATCTCTGACATGACATAAACACAAAATTTTCGCATGATACTCAACTGGTTTTAACGATGAAGGAGGTATCACTAGGCTTCAACAATCCTATTTCCCCATTTCTCTGCAATATTTTGACCGTTGGTGGACCGTTGGAAATCGATATGCAGTTAGTTGCTATCTGAGATATAGTGTCTGTCTTGCTCTGACGCAGATCAACAATATCGTTGTTATCAGGGTGTTCAAGGTAGGCGTAAACACGTATTGTGAAACCGAAATTTCTTTTGTTGTCTGTAGAACATATGAATTTTGATTTGCAGCGACAAAATTTCCAGTCTGCTCTGAGATTGATCGATCAAGACTCAAATTGTTATAGATCTAAAAGTTTCTTCAAAATTAAACTCCATAAAGAAAATACACTTTCTCAAACCACTGTAGTACAAATAGCAGGCAATCTATTTAGAGTGATTCAAGTGGAAAAATAGTCCATTGTAGTGTTATCTGTTTTTACGTTGCACGCTGTTCACTTGCCAGTCGTAGAGCTCGTATCCACTTGCCACTGAGACGGGAGGAGACAGGCTGTTGTCACCCTTGGTTACAAACGCCTAACACAAAACGGTTTTTTACGATCGATCATAATGAAAGCTCATTTGTTGTGATTTAGGACAATTTGGTTCAAAGATTAAAGCTTTCCGAAGATCTCTTTACTCAGAACGCTTTATCATGACACGATTTTCTTTAAGTGAACTTCGTGTGAAAAAAATGGAAGAAAGCAAGCGAAAAAATACGACAGAAAGCGAAGATATTCTTACGTTGTGTGGGGCTGCTGAAGAGAAGGCGAAATCAGGGGAAAGTCTACAAGATGCTTTTAAGAAATTTCGAAAGAAGAGACAGGTAAACTTTTCACTTGTAAGCGACAATATAATTTGTCTCTCTGTTTGCTGTTTTTCGTAACTTTCGTGTTGCTCTGAGATTAATTCCCTCGATGTTATAACTTGTCGCCAAATACGATATGACAAATTGAAGTTGTGGCCACAAGCATGTTACTATTTTAAACGATGAAGAAAACAAAGTGAGACGGTTGGAAGTTGTTTTAAATCAATTGCAATCCTTAGGAGCGATTTCTCTTCATGATGTTTGCAAACCTCAGCAGATTTGAAACTGACATTTATTTAAATCGTGTAATTGCCAGATATACTTGACATAGTTTTCTCAGAAATAGGAGGGAGATAGTTTTGATTGATGTGAATTTATTGGTTGTTGACCTGTAGATAATTTGGAGCAACATTTGTCAAAGATAAACTGAACTTTCATTTATCAGTTAAATTTCTTTGAGTGAATGCTAATGTACAGAATATGCCTTGTCTGTTTTTTGATTTGGAATTGTTAGTGAAATATTATTGTATAAATGTTAGTTAAAATTTAACTTGCTCTACATCTTAAAAAGGGAGATCTTTTAAACAACCTCAAACAACATTGCCAGATAAACTGCACAAGTTCTGGAGGTATTAAGTTCAAATATTGCCTTGGAAGTTTATAGATAAAAATTGTTATGTCATCAGCTCTGCTGTAGATGTATTGACAATTTCATTATGACTCTTAACATTACAGAATGCCATACGTTTATCCAAACAAGTTGACAAGGAGACCACCAAATGGAGAGCTGATCCTGTCAAAATGAACAAGCTCCGCATGAAATTTGTTGAGCAGTGCAAGCTGTACTTTGGTGTGCCTTATGCCAAGAAATATCAGGAGCCAGGAAGTAAAATTCAAATTTGTTTACTTTGTACATTGAAAATGAGTAATAGCAGTTTTTACAAGACAGAAATGTGCATGTTGTTTTACAAAATCAAGAGAAAATGACGTGTTTATCCAGGGTTGTCCACAAGATTTTGATTGGTTGGACTTTGTTAGGCAGTGCTTGGGTTGTATAGTGCTTTTCCTTTTTTTCAAGCATGATGGGTAAAGAAAATGTTGAAAGCAGTGGAGCAATCCTTGTACCTGTCTAATTTTTAAGAATTCAAAGCGATTTTAGGTGGAGGGAATTAGAGTGGATTCTAATTTTTTATCAGTTTGAAAAATGCTCATTGAGTTTGGGGGCTATGCAACTTCACTTGGGGGCACATGCAGTCACTTAGCTTGGGGCAGTAGTGGGCAACTTGACCCAGGCAACTAATGGCAGGCAGGGGGAGATGGGTGGGCAACATAAGCTGTCACTGAGACTGATGAAAAATTTTTAATCATGACTTGTTTCAAGTATGTGTTGTTTGGCAATTTGCACTAAATTTTGTTTTTGTTACTGAAATTATACCATTTTTCTATTTTCACCCTTTGATTGTTTACAGTATGTGATAGAAGTGGCATTTTGTTTCTCCGCAGCAGCAGAGTTCAATGCACCATTCTTTCTTGATTGTTGTGGTTTGATCAGAAGAGTACTTCGAGATCTCAAAGAAGATTTTGGTTTTGAAGTTGGCCCATGGAATCAGGCCTACATGGTAAAGAGTTGTTATCAACACAGCTTTAGGGGGAGTAACGTCCATGCTTAGAAGTTTTCTGCTCATTTTTGCAGTATGATACACTTCCTCTTGATGCGGAGAAAACTGACGACTTGAAGCCAGGAGATCTTGTGTTTGTGTCTGGAATCTATCATAATACAAAATGTAGGTATTTCTAAAACATCTGTCTGCTTATTGCAATTGCACAAACTGACCAAAAGGTTTACTTGGCAACTAGTTTGATGTTGAGTTAGAGGTCTTATACCATGTTTTCAAGGTACACTCATTAATTAATTTTGTCAGTGATTTTACCTATTTATGTCATGCAGTTATGACATTTTTGTTAACATTAACATTACATCCTGAGTTGACTGAAGTGTCCTGGCAACTTTCAGAAATTGCAAAACTTGTGAGGTTTCTCAAGGCTGAAAGATCCCCAAGTGTAAATTCCTCTCTTGTATGATGTTATTAATAGTTTCCAGCTACTACCAAAAATTGCGGAACTTGTAAGGTTCATCAAGCCTGATGATGTCAGTATCATCTGTCAGCGAGTATTCAGGAGGCTAATGACCATACTTTTGGTTGGAAGACTTTTAAAGTACAGCATACCTGAAGGAGTTATCAAAAGTTATAGTCTGCCATTAACTGACTGAGGCAAATTTTGATCTCGAAACTTTAAGCAAAGAAGCAGCGTCACAACATGGTCCACGTTGAAGTTTGGGCAGGAGATGGAGAGAAGACAATTGGTGCAAGATGGCAGAAGGGGAAGTAAGATAACTCTTTATTCTGATTGATGTTGACTTCAGCTAAGGTTGTTGAAACATAGTTACTGTCAACAGCCCTCTTCAGCAATACTCACCAATTAACCACACCTGCCAACCACCAGAGTAACAAAAATCTGGAGACGTCTCAGTTTGACCGATGTAAGCTGCTTGTGACAACTTGAACTGCGCCAAATTTCTATCATGTATTTTACAATTTGTTTGGATGATTTCTGACCAATTATGGTACTCATTGAATGTATACATAATCAACTTGAATGCTTCGTTTTACTTTTTCCGATCGAGAATGGCTTAGATAAGAGCACTACATCCTTTTTGACATCTCGAAAACAACTAAATTATTGAAAACAAATTTGAAACAAGTCAGGGTAGGTATTTCCCAGGAGATTTGGTGAGCGCTCTAACTGGGAAACTGGGAGATTTGGTGAGCACTCTAACTGGGAGACGGAGATTTGATGAAAAACTTGGAGACTCCCCGGAAAACCAGGAGAGTTGGCAGTTATGCATAACTAGAAGACCACACAATCGATATCTTAACCATAAATGTGAAGAGAGATCAGCATCCAATTTCTCGTGACAGTGATACTACTAAAGATAATGAGAGTAAAGCAAATGATCACCAACCTAAGAAGCTTTGATCCATAAACAAATTCTCCATGACAATACCAAGGGAATTGTATAGAGAACAGTATGGAGAATATGCATACTGATGTTAGGTTGTAAAGGGACTCAAGACTTGTGGTTTAGAAAATTAGTTTTTGATTTATTGCACAGCTTGACACTAACTTTTCAACTTTCTAGCCAAGTGGCTACTAGTGACAACTTAGATGTTACAACAATTTCAGTTTGTTTACTAGCCAAACTGGCTAGTGAAAATCAAAACAAAAACCACTAGCCAAAACTGAATTTCTACTAGTCTGTGGCTATAGTTGGCTTCTGTCAGTGTCAAGCTCTGTATTGATTAGCGGATTGTTTTATTTTTGTTTTCAAGGAGCAGTCACAGTGTAAATATAATTTCTGTTTGTACAGGGTTCAATACCATGACTCCTACAAGTTCAATGCCAAGAGCTATCACAGCATGCAATATCATTTCAAATCAATTGATACTTGGCTGATGGGAATCTGTCAAAGCCATTGCCCAGAACATTCATGGAAACGATCACAGTATAGGCCAGGAAAGAGGTCCATCTTTGCTGAAGATCAAGCAAATGAAAGAGAAGATCAAAATGCAGAAGAACTTTCAGATGAGGAGATGGGAAGTCAAGTAAATGACGATAAACAGAGGCCTCCTTGCTCAGAAAATGAGATTCAAAGTTCCTCTGACAAAAAGAATTTAATATGTCAAAAAGCTGTTTCATTGCACATCACTTCTCCAGACTCAAATACTTGTCATGAAACAGTTTCCTCTGATTGTCCTTCTACAACTACAACAGCCCAACTGTCACAGAAAAACTTCAACAACCTTGATGAATGTGTTTCTTGGTTGCTGACTAAGATAAGCATGGATATTGAGAGTGAATGCTATGACAGGATTTCTGATGTCGAAGCAATCAAGTTACATTCAAGCCCTCAACACGCAGAACATTCCTCTTCAAATAATCCCAACAACGATATGATTCCAAAGGATCACTCTGCTAGGAAAACAAAAATGGATTCAACAGTGCAGTCAAACACTGACCAAGACTGTCATTGTCCTCAGTGTTGTCATGCAAAAGTCAGTTGCATACATCAACGTTGTGGCTGCCATTATGGTTTTCCTCAAGACAATGATGAGAATGATTTTGAAAATTTAGATGACTGTAAGGAAAATTCTTCATCTTTAGAGTGTTTTGACTTTATGCATACTGGCATGAATTGTGATCAGTTTGTTATAAATCAGTGTCCTAACAACTCAGACAGTAATCACAGTGGAAGCAAGTCCAGAAGGTCTGTGTCTCCCTCAAAGGCAACAAAAAATGGAAAAGGTTGGTGGAATAGGCCTTTTTTAGTGTTTGTTTTGTTTTGATGCTGATTATGACTGTTTATCAGCATTTGTTTCTTCCCAACAATGACAATATTAATCATATGGCAATTTAAAAAATAAAAGTAGTTTGAAGAAGAATTTTTGCAGAATTTGGAAAGATGGTGCAACAATCGCAACCTGGTGCACTTCACTGCAGTTAAAAAGGTCAGGATTTCATGAGATCTCATCATTAAGGTGTGTTCTTGGGCAAGACACATAACTATTACTGACCGTGCCCCTCGTAAATCAGGGGTAGGAATTGGTATCTAACCAGTAAACAAGGGAAGCCTGACAAACTGTTGAGCACAACCTTGTGAAGGACTAGTGTCCCTTCCAGGGAAGGGTGATTATTGCTACTGATCCAGGTTGAATTCTGGTTGGTCTTTGTGAATTAATAATTTTGATCATTTTAACTCAGACTCAGGGAGTGGTCCCTCAGGCAACAGAAGAGGAAATGGAAATGAAAAGAACAACAACAGGGACTCCCCTGGAAGGAGTGGCACAAGATCAGTTCGTGGTTACATGAATGATAAACAGCCACCCTTCTTCATTGGAGGAGGGAATGGAAATTGGATGTGAGAATAGATTCATTAAAATAATTAATGAAACATGTCTAAATTATTCTTTCTTGCAAAATGGAGCTTTTGTGCATTTAGGGGAGGAAAAGAGGGTGTTCACTCAGGAGACATTGGGAACTGGAGAATTCTCTGAATAATGAGTTTACTTGGCTATTCTCAATGAGTTATCAA